ATTTGTGCCAAATTGTTCTAAAAATGAACTGGTCAGTAAAATTGCCGTGACATGGGTAAAAGGTAGTTATTAGGTCCAGGCTTATGGGCTCCTTATTAGGGGTTTTCAAATTACGTCACCAAAATTCAAACTAAGAAACTATCGATTCTTCTGAGTTCTACTTTCATGAGGTATTACAGCACCTAAAACCTTTATTTACACAAATTTTCAGCTCCAAAGGGTTCTTTGTTTTGTGATAGAAGATGCTTGAATTTCCAGGCTTTTGTGTGAAGTGGCACTTAGCTGGCAGCTGAGAAAGCTCTTATGTGGGTTAAAAACATTACTGATTTTTTGAGATTTTGCTATCTTAAACATTCTTTGTATTAAAATAAATATTACTTTAATCTTTATGCATTCCTCAAGTGATGAATTTGTGCATATAACTACGAAAACCCAAAAACAGATGTTTCTTTTGGTCTCTGGTGGCCATATTTGTGCCCCTCAAAGGGACACCAACATGGCGTCTCCATACAAAGCTGTATACATCTGAGCAAAATGTTCTTGCGAATATCTTGTTTATGAATTATTGCACAGACGTGATTCTTGGCAAGGCTTTTTGTATATTTATTTTCTTTCACTTCCCAGAAGCTGAACTTTCTGTTTTGACTGGTTTGCATTTTTATTTTTGATGGAGTGACAAAGAAAACACAGAATGCAACACAATACAGTATGCCCCCGCCTCCATCTGTGACTTTTCTCTTCCAAGAATAAAAACCCAACACTTATTTTTTAACATTACCTAGTTTTCTTACATCCAATCTTCAGCATGTCCATTAAAATAGTATGCACCAAATCTGTTGGGTCCTTTGAATCTGGCAGGTTTGTTTTGATAAATATAACATTATTTGCTCCACTTAAAACCGCCTGAAATCTTTTTTCTTGCACTGTTTCCTTTAATTCCTCAACCTCTTTAGCTAGGGCATTTTCTACATCATCATCATCATCGTCATCACTTGAATTATTAGGATGATCCCCCTGACGATTGTGCTCAGGTCCATATAACTGATCTGCATACTGAAAGTTATTACCATATTAAACAGAATTACAATGAAGGCCATTTCCGGATTGCCCCAGGCCTCTGTTTCAAAGCAAGGCTATAAGTGCCAAAGCTACTGATATGAAAATGATTTTTTATTCCCATGCGAATAAAACTCATTTTCACAACAAACGGTTTGCATTTAGCCTCATTTTGAAAATTTATTTAAATACAAGATAGAGGGGGGCTTATATCTGAAGGGAGGGGGGGGGGGTGGGGGGGGTTGAGTTAACCTCATGTGTTGACAATTGATTTTTCATGCTTTCTTGAAAAGTCATCCTCCAAAAATTTTGTGGAGCATCAGTCTGTAGGGTTCATTTCCAAGTTAGATAACAAACTAAATCTAAAATGATGTGTAGCTGTTTGACCTTTGATTAGTAAACATGTGAATTGTGAACTTGATGTTACAGGTCAAAAAATTCAGGTTAAATGTTTTTAGCCTTGGTTGATTCTCAATTGTATATCAAGGTGGGTACGCAGATATGCAGATATGCACTGACTATTATTGAAAACATATTTACTTTGTGGATACGCGGATACGTAGTGTCTGAGTATCCGCGCATCCACCTCTCTTTAGGGTCTGCTTTAAAGTGGCACGCTATTCTGCAGTTAAGCCGGTTTCGCACCACGTGAATGACCAGCTGCATAGGATCCATTGTCACCATACCATCTAGATCAACGTCGCACATTGACTGGCCAGCCACATGGAAGGAAGGAATAGTCCATTTTACAGTTACGGGTGGAGATAAGGCTGGACTTGACATTGTTTGGATACAACCCCTCCAGCTTTATTATGTAAATCATGTTGTTCTTAACTTTACTAGTATTTTTCAAGCATAATTTCCATTAAAAAGAGAAGGAAGTTTGTGTCAAAACAAGGTCAACGTCAGCCTCACATTCACACACAGGCTAGGATACTAAGTCTACAACTATAAAATGGTGGCTCAGTGTAAAAATCTGTGAAACTCACCACAGGTAGCCCAAGCTCACTATGAGAGCCCTGAATAACATTATCCTACTTGTGATAGTGACATGTAATATCAAAACATGTCGCGTTGTTGCATTTGGTTGATCTCTACTCTTCTTTTTAAAAAGTGTTTGACAATGGTTTTTTATGTATGATTTAGAAAAAAATGTTCCAATAAGAATTACTACGGCTGTAAACAGTTGTTAGCTATTTTTCTTCCCTTTTTCAACAAGTGGCAGTAAGTAACAAGTTTGGGGACAGGATCTTTTAAGCGCAAAACAATCGTCCACCGAATTTTCATTTAAGCGCTTTAGCTTGGAAAGAATCATAAAGAATAATTGTATTCGTAGCTCTTTGCAGCAAGTGAAGCCGTTGAAACAGTTTCACTCTTTTACTTGATTTAAACTAGACTAGCCGGCAAAACTGTCAATTCAAAACATTAACAGGCGACATGTTTTGATATTACATGTCACTATCACACGCGATGCTTGACTTCCGCAACCCCGGAGTGCAATGTGAGAAGTGAAAAATCAGTTACTGTGCCCAGTAGGCTAAATGCTCCAATTGTCCTTTGACGGTTGAACAATTTGACCCTGCCAGCCCGCGTCGGTTTGAAATTGTCGACTTGACGGTTGGAGTCCGTTGCGGGTCTGCTCTCGACTCGCCTAATCTCAGCCGTGTATTGCCCACTTCGTTCGAAATGGGAATTTTGGCGATGTGAATAATGGAAAATGTGTGTTATTTATCAGGACATCTGTTTCTGGCGGAATTGTCTCCATGTCGCAAATGTCACGGAATTTATCGCCGCCGAGAGCGGAGCCGGTCAAGAGAGGTTTGCCAACCTTCTCTTCTCTTCTCT